AGAAAATGGAAAATTATTCGTAATGAATTATTTCCTATTCTGGTTGACAATACGATCGGTACGGAATAATTAGGATCGCCAAAGTGTTTACGGTAAGATTTTCATGTAGAAATTAGTTGAGCATTATTGCAGAATTAAGGGATTTATTGTTACTACGATAACAGTACATGTGCGTACATGTACATGTATTAAGGAAACGAGTCAAAAGAAACGCGCATTTCGTGTAAGTCATTTGATAAAATTTTACTACATGTACACGCATGTAGCTCCTTGTGTAAAGTTGTATCGCCACTGTACTTGTATTCAATAATACATGTATATTATTAATATACGTATTATATTTCATTGACCAATGTTACAAAATTAGCAGGTAATGTGAGAGTATAATAAAATTATTTAGCAGTGAAAGTTAACTTTGTCCACATTATATTGAATATTAAACTGTCTGCGTTATCAAATTGTTCTGTACTGTAATCATATTCCTTGGTTAAAAGTAACTATTGTAGTTTATCTAATAATTACATATATTACAGTTCAGTATAGAGATACTGTTCTTACCATTATGTGTCAATTTTTTTGCATAAGCATGCATAATTGATATGATTTAAATGCAGAAATAAAAGAGCAATTATTAATTTACGTATATTCTCCAAGTGTCATAGAAAACTGCATAAAATTTATCTTTAAGCATGATACATACGTATCGATATTGCACAAAATTTACCTTAAAGAATGATGCATATTTAAGCTATAAAAAACTGCACCAAATGTATCTCAAAGCATGATTTATATTATAGCCATGAAAAACAGTGTGCTATAGAGACTTGCATGAATTTATCAAACACAGCAGTGATAGGCACTTTTCGTTATTGCGTTAATCAAGTTATCGTTATACGTACATGTACATTGTATTCTTTTATAAATGGCCTATCTGCCTACGAGCTTGTTTCAAGAAGACTAAATATTTTATTTCTTAATATCGATAAATCGCCATGTATAATTCAAAAATCTCTTTAATCACTTTATTTATTCTGTCTATCTTTGCGATAACCTTTGCAATTCCGCTCTCCAAAAGGACTGACCCCATCGCTAAAGTTGAAACTAATGCTGGTGATATAGTGTCTACCTATGCGTCGGCTAATGGCGTTATTGAAGCAGGGGTAGGGGTTGAAGGCACGGAGACAAAAGTCGAAGGGCCAGGCATAGAGTCAATTGCCGGGGAACTTATAGCATAAAAGATTTTATCATTACACAATATTTATTTATTCTCAATATCGATATAACTAAAAGGAGATCATTTTTAACTATAGTCTTTCTATAAGTAAAACAGTTAATTGTTTAATAAATGAACGTTAATAAAGATTTAGAGAAAAATTTAATTTCAGAGTTCTAATCTTTATACGTAGTGTAGTGTAAGCACCATATACATATACATGTACATGTATTATGATTATTTAATTCGCTAAGAAACCAATATATCAGAATGAGTATAATAAATAGTGTGATTGCATGCACAACAACAGTCAAAACGATGTTACAAATTTTACTACATATACCTAACTTTTACACAGGCGTAAATTTTTTGCGTAACATTAAGGTTTGCTCTCTTTTGTAGAAACACTTAATAAAACCGAGAAGTATTTTCATTTTAATTTTGTTGATCTAACCATTATAAAATTCTAGAATGATAGAATTGAGTATCCAATTAGATTAAACCTTGGATTACTTCTTAATTAGGAAGCTTATTGAATTTATAAAAT